AAAAAAAAAAAAAAAAAAAAAAAAAAAAAAAAAAAAAAAAAAAAAAAAAAAAAAAAAAGCAAATAAAATATCTTTATTTATTTATTTATTTGAAACTAGGATAGAATGTTTCATAACAAACACCTATTCAAATTTTTCGAACAGACTAAACTTTAAATTTTGTGGATCTGTATAATTAGAAATAATTTATAATATTCTAAATATTCTAATTGTTTTATTAATCAAAAATATTTTTTTCTTTCAGATATGTTATAAGATTATTTCAATCGCTTTAGGGGAGGAGTGGGACAGGGGTAGAGGCGCATAAGTTTAATCCGAACAAAATATTCAACTTCTTCATTAAAATCTCAATAGAATTAATTCAATGTTTTCAATGTGTTGAACCCAAGAGGTATATTGTCCTGCAACCTTAAGAACAGTGCTTCCGTGAACCATAATATCGGGTGATCCTGGTTAAGAAACACGGTGTTGAGGTTCAACTTGTCTGATTGTAATAAAATTTAAAAAAAGAAAAATGTATGGTAATAAGTCTATTATAATTATTCATAATTATTATTTATTATTCATAATTATGATTTCATAATTATTTTTTTATGCTGAAAAATAAGTCTAAAATTTACGTGTTTATTATTGATACGTTATTTATTCTGAAAAATGAGTTCAGGATATGCAAATTTCCAATTTTATAAAAACGAATGCGGAAAGTTTTGTTTAAAAAGTTGAAGAGATATATGACTTTTTTTTTCTTCGTAAAATTGCACTTTTTTGAAAATAAAGTTAAAGAATTTTGAATAAATTCCTCTTCTTCTTCTATTGCCATGCTTTGTGGGTCAGAGCCTTCCCTAGAACCTTCCTCCATTCTGTTCTTTTCTTTGCAATTGTTCTCCAGTTAGTAATTTTTTTGGATTTTCAAATCCTCTTCCTCACAGTCTAGCCACCTGATCTTAGACATTATGAATAAATACTACATTTAATGTTCATGCTCTTTATTATTTTTTTATTTAATTCTTTTTCTTCATAATTCATGTACAGTGCTCACGAAGAATAAAAAACGGTACAGCTGAATAACTGAAAAACTTTAAATCTAATATAATATGAGTAATATGGTTGAATAAAATCGGTTGAATGGTTTTTGAGAAATTAAAATTTGAAAATACGACTCTCTTGAAAGAACTCAAAAACAATTTGGTCGATTTTGGTTAAACTTTCGATTTTGTTATTCATTTAAGAATTTAAAAGAAATTTGGTTTTTGAATACTGTATTTGCATCGTACTTTTTCTGTTTTTGCAGAAAAGTACATGTTTTGTAGCAAAGTACAAAGTGTTTTATAAAAATAGTTTTATTTAAAAAAGAAGTAAATTTGTTTTAAAAAGAATGATTTAAAAAAGGTTAAAAAAGCAAAAGGGCTCTAAGTTTTACAAGTAAGTATTAAAAAGAGTTACGAATATTAATATTATTAAAAATAAAAATGCCTTCAATTATTTTATCTTGAAACAATATATGCTCGTCGTTATTTATACTGTATATTATTTACTGTATTTATTTCCTTAATTTATAATAATTTAAAAAAAGAAAAAGGACAAACAGATTCTGAAACAACACCGTATATACATATATGGTACTGTATTTTGGTACGAAATACAATTGTGCAGTAAAAGTGCTAATGAATGACTAATTTACTGGTCGCGACTAAATGAAATTGTTTCCGTTTTTATTTATTTAGTTTTTTAAAATTCGCCTAAATTTAAAAACATTTCATTCTTTAGAAAACATTTAAAATGTTAGCGTCTGTTTTAAGTCATAAACATGTCAAGTTAAAGAGTTACTTTTATTATTTTATCTATTTACTTATTTATTTTTCAAATTTAAATACAGTTACATATTAAATTTTATATAAAGAGCTTGAAAAATGGGCAAGCAATTTTATTTAATTCAAATAAATTTAAATTAAAGGAAACGTATGTTGCAAACTAATCAGTTTACAAGTTAAAACAAAATTATGCAGATCATGTTTCGATTTTTTTGAAAATGTGTTATGAAGGAAAAGTGTAGAAAGTATCAGACATCAAAATTTGACTTTTATAAAAATATCTGCCTGAAAGTTATTAGTTCACAAATGAACAAAACAAGCAAATAATAAACTGAATCAAATAATTTTTGTGATTTTTTTTGAAAAAGAGTTATAAAGTAACGCATCGAAATATGAGGTAAATATTTGCTATAAGAGCTTTAGTTTGCAATGTAAAACAAAACTATGGGAGGAAAATCGTTAAAAACTTAATGCATATGAATTTTTAACTAATTTTACATGCAATAGCAGTCTTAAAAATTTCCCACTCATTATTAATAATCTTAAATCCTTAAGAACATTAACTTGTATTAAAAATAAATATTTTATAATTTAAGATCATTCATTTCTGTTTCAGTCCTTTTATAACTTTGAAACGATAAAAAAAGTACATACTATCCATTTTAAAACTGACTTTTAAAACAGATAAGGCAATTAAGCATCTCATAAAAAATTCGGAAGAAGATTTTTAATTCCGATAACAAAAATGGGGTGGTTGGAAAAAGAAAAAAAAAAAGAATTTTTTTTTCCTTCAGCTCATTCATCTTCATTGGAGCACGAAGATTCAAAAATAAAATTCCAAACTCGATATCTCACCAAGGTATGGCCAGGTAGAATCCGGACACAGTGCCCATTCGCTGGTGATTGGACCGCCCGCCAGGCCACCCCTGCATCCGGGTACCGCCTATCTCCCCCATCCCTTCCTTCTTTGCCGGGAGAGGATGACAGCGCAGTAGCAGTAGTCGAAAGTTCGTCTGCTCATTCGCAGTCAGTAGCTAACCGTAGGTCGACGCATCCGCGAGTGAAAACGATTCTCGACCATTCTTAACCTAGATAACACCGCTTCTCCGACTGGCGGTCTGATCATCGAACAATCACCGACTCTGTGAACCCCCTTGGCTGTCGTCATTCCCCCGGCTTCCATCATGAGGGGACACGGCATCACAGTTTTCGTGGAAGGTAAGGATTTCTTTCATTTGTTCTATATTTAGAATGTTTTCCAAACTGTCGCAGGCGAGCTTTTTTTTTTTTGTTCCAAATTATTAGACGCACTATGAGATTCCATGTAAAATCATAATTATCAGTATATGCTATACAGCTTTATTGTTTTTACGGGACTGAAACCGGTTTGTACTTGTTTACATTCGTGTAATAATTGGCTAAATTAGGCGATATATAATATAAATTAGGCGATATATAATATAAATATAGAATATTAATTATATCAGGTATCATATTGTAATAATTAGATCGAATTATTAGAAGCTTTATTGTTTTCACGGGACTGAAACCGGTTTGCAATTGCTTACATTCGTGTAATAATTGGTTAAATTAGGCAAGATATAATATAAATATAGAATATTAATTATATCAGGTATTATATTGTAATAATTAGATCGAATTATTAGAAGCTTTATTGATTTTACGGGACTGANTTTTTTTTTTTTGTTCCAAATTATTAGACGCACTATAAGATTCCATGTAAAATCATAATTATCAGTTCATACTATACAGCTTTATTGTTTTTACGGGACTGAAACCGGTTTGCACTTGTTTACGTTCATATATTAATTGGCTAAATTAGGCGATATATAATATAAATTAGGCGAGATATAATATAAATATAGAATATTTATTATATCAGGTAGTATATTATAAGAAGTAAATCAAATTATTAGAAGCTTTATTGATTTTACGGGACTGAAACCTGTTTGCACTTGTTTACATTCGTGTAATAATTGGTTAAATTAGGCGATATATAATATAAATATGGAATATTAATTATATCAGGTATTATATTGTAATGATTAGATCGAATTATTAGAAGCTTTATTGATTTTACGGGACTGAAACCGGTTGCAACATTAGTTTATTCTGTTAAAACAGAACAGTTTTTATAACCGAAGTTTGGCAAACGGAATAAAATACTGCTCCCATTTTTTCAAACACTCATTTTAAGTTTTGCCCAGAATAAAAAAGCTCATCAACTATCTCTTTAAACCAAATCTTCCAATGAATTTTGACAGTCTGAGTGCATTTTAAAATCTTCAACAATTTGGAAAGATATCTAAAATTATCCCTGTTGAAAAAAAACTAAATTTATTTCTTGTTTAGAATATTACCTGAATTAATTCTTTGACTACTTCACAAATATAATTAACGTAACAAAATCATTTTATATTCATTTAATGATAGTATTAAAGAGAAAATCAATGTTGACAATTTTTAATTCATTGCTGTGAGCTTTATATAGTTTTTGTTGATTGTTTACAGAAATCTCTGAAAATTCTCTGAGTTGCAAATGTTTTAGATGTTATTGAATAGTTAGTATGACATTTATATTATTGCGTAGAATATACTAGATTCCGATCTCCTTATAACAACATTATAGCTCCTCTAATAGTATTATCAGAGAAACTTAGCAAATATATTTTTTTATCTGTAGTAAATAAAAGCAATGCATTTTGTTTCTTTAAACTCTTCTCTTCGCATTGAAATTAGAATGTATTAATTTCGACGTGTTGTTTACTTTTCACTCATTTAATTTAATTTACAACTATAATGACATATTATAAAAACATCATAAAACCAATCTCATATGAGAGTAGCGCGCATTGTTTATTTATATGGGTAAAATAATAAATAAACCATGTATTATCGTTAACGCATTTTGTATAGCTTCATTATGGTCAATATTAAAGTCGCTGGCCAATTTATTATACGCACTATAAGATTCTATGTAAAATTTTAATTATCATCAGTGATACTATACAGCTTTATTGTTTTTACTTTCTCGGATGGAACCGGTTTGCATTTTTAGTTTGCATCAGTTGGTTAACTTTGTAATGCAATACGTTAAGAATAAATACAAATGGGAAGTGTATATAAAAAATCACCTGACTAGAAACCCATTACATGTATGTTTAAATATAAAAATATTGCCTATAAACGCATGCAAAACATGTCATTATTAAAACTCAGTGCGTCTCATAATTTGATCTAATTATTATACTGTACTAATATAATACCTGATATAATAAATATTCTATATTTATATAATATATCGTCTAATTTATACAATGGTCGACTTTATATTATACATCGTCTAATTTAACCAATACGATACACGAACGTAAACCGGTTTCAGTCGGGTAAAAACAATAAAGCTGTATAGTATCACCTGATAATTAAGATTTTACATAGAATCTTATAGTGCGTCTAATATTTTGATCAGGGGCTGTAAAATACAGAACAGTTTTATTCTTTGTTTGTTGGTTATTTTCTTTTGTTTATGATTCTTGTGGTGCGATGGATTGTTTGAAAAGTATGGATTAATNTCTAATTTAACCAATTGATACAAGAACTTAAAAAAGTGCAAACGGATTTCAGTCTCGTATAGATAATACAGCTGTATAGAGTATCACGTGATAATTAAGATTTTACATAGAATCTTAAAGTGCGTCTATTAAGTTGATCAGGGGCTGTAAAATACAGAACAGTTTTATTCTTTGTTTGTTGGTTATTTTCTTTTGTTTATGATTCTTGTGGTGCGATGGATTGTTTGAAAAGTATGGATTAATAATATATGAAATAATCTGTAACTAAAAATGCAGTAACTTAGTTCTAAATTGAATGACCGCCAATTATTTTTAAACATTGAAGTTTCAGAAATAGATAAATACGATGGAGCATTTAGCAACTAATTTAGTCCCTTAGACAGAATTGGTTTTGCCTTAAGATTAATTAATTTGTTGAAGATTAATTAAGTGAAAAATGAGATTAGCCGATTCACAGTTTCTTTGGATTTAAAAATGTAGTTTAGCAGTCTTTTCGCTGGGATTTTGTTTTTTAAATTACTTATAACTTTTTTTAAATATTTAAGCTAAAGCCGTGATGGCTCAGGGGATAGAGCTTTCTCTTTCCAATGAAGTGGACCAAGTTCGAATCCCAAGGATGGCTGGTCAATATGAATTCCGCATCCGGCTTGCACCGACCACACTGCTGACGTAAAATATCCTCAGTGGTAGACAGATCATGAATTAGAGTCCCTTCGCTGTCAGGTTTTCGTTGTTTTATGTAACGCAAATGTGAGTTAGTTCCATCAAAATATCTTCCACGAAAGCAAGTTTCTCCCAATACTTGATCCAAAAGTTCCCTTGTCTTCTGAACTGGGTTCAAAATTACAAGGCTACTGAGTTGAACATTAGTAGTCGTAAACTCAAAAAAAATTGTTTCGGCTGTTCAACGATGGTTATAAAATAAAGTATTTAAATTAGAAAAATGAGTTACTTTAAAATAACTAGGCTCATTCAATATCTATCTTTAAAAATTATGAAACATTGCAAATGAGATTTGCAAGTGATATTTAATGCATTTTAAGGCTAAAAAAAGCTTATTAATTAATTGAAGGTGAGAGATTACTAGACTTGGAGAGCGACTCCATTATTTTGTAGTTATTATCCTTCCTATTGGCTGCTTAGTGGACATAATGATCGCAATCTTGATTGAGATTTTTCTGCAATTTTCGTCAACGCAATCATGAAGTATGAATGTCAGGGGGATATTCATAGTGCAACGGTTGTTTATGATCGTTTTACAAACCAATTGTCATTCAGTTTCAGTTGGGAGACGTTTTGTGGGCTAATTATTAGTCAATTCCAGTAGCTAACGTTTTTTAAAACCGATTGTTATTCAGTATCAGTTGGGGAGCGTTGTGTAAGCTAATTGTCAGTCGATTCCAGTAACGAATAGAGACTGTATCTATATAGCGTGAACATTGTTAAATTTTTTTGGAGCTCTGCATTTGTAAATTTTTGGAGTCCGAAAAATGTTGCTCCTTATTTAGTGAAGGCATGTTAAATATATTGCAAAATTTGAATATTTAGCAGCTGGCTATCAGCCCATTGTAGCATTTTCTCATTTGTTTTAATGCAACATTTGTTTAAATGATATCCATATTTAGTAAGTAATAATTAAAATAGAATGTAGATGTTGTTCATTTTTGGAGAAAAGAGTGATGATTAGCAGGCAATTTTTTTTTAAACGTCATTTGTTACATTTAGTAGCCCTGTTGTCGGTTTTGACCGTTAATTTGCCCCATAATATCAGGAGTTATTATCCAATTTATTTCTTCTAGTTTCACACCTAAAATCTTTATTTGGTTCTTAAAAGTGGTGTAATTATGCTTTTACCCCCGAGCGAGCCACACATGTTGTAATACTTTTAAACATTTTAATGATTTTATAAAGGTGATGTTGGATCAGAATATATAAAAGTAGATGCCTTCTTATTCATAGAAAGCTTAATAAAGGAGTCCAGTTTCCTTCATTTCTATTTTTTTATTTATTATTTACTTAAAATTTCATAATTGTAACGCCCTTTCACTATATAAGTATATATATTTTTGTAACCTGCAACTATTTGTTTCCCCTAATAATCCATGATTAATTCAATATGTCGGTTATTTTTTTTTTACAAAATTATGTAAGTAAAGAGCGGATGAAGAAAGAAAGTAAAATTTAAATACATATAATTATTTTCCCCCCATAATAATGTATTAAACAAGTTACAAAAAGGGTTTGAATTTACAAATACTTATTGCGTTAGTGCAACAAACAGCGAAATTTTTCAATTCCAAATAAGATAACCGAATGAAACATAGAAGAACCATGCTTCTTTCATGATCATTCTTACAGTTTATAACACAATCGTTATCGTAATTTAATAGCATATTTTATTCAACTTCAATGAATTTAACCTAGAACCGCCATAGATTAGTCCAGAAACAGCCACAAATTAGTGAATTCAACTGCTAGGCATAAAACCTAATTTTAAGACTTATTGATTAAACAATAAAAATATTTCGAACTTTATATAAAATGATTTAAACTAATTTGTAGTTTTTTTTTGTCAGTTTGTATATTTGCAACTGCTAATGAGTCTCTTCTCTCGTGGAAAAG